ACCCACGGAAGCCACTCGAAACAGGTGTGAAAAGTATGTTTTATCAGAGGACAGCACGATTACTGTCACTCACAGACGGGAGATCAGTTTCTGGTGAAACTAGAGGAGTTTTGGGAACCAGCAAAAGCCTTTATATCATCAGCTATAACCTCGACTTTTCCTGCGTCACATTCCAGAATCCTTGTGTTTTTCTGGCCTATAAAAATAATCAAAATAGAAACATGAAACCACAATATTCTCATAGTTTCGTTAACCTGAGCCAGATTCTCATTCAGAGTTTGTGTTTACTTGCACATGCCTTCATTTCATAAGTAACCTCTTGTATGATTAAAACGAAGCGCTAAAGTCAAGATCATCCGCTCTTAAAAGTTCAGGTTGTGTAAATGTGAAGACGTTCATTCTCCATAACAGCAGTTTGCTTGCTCTGTGTTTCTTAAAGAATAATCAGTAATAATAATCAAGCCCGGTTTAAGATTCAACCTCTGAGCGTCTGATTGCTCATTCACTTTCCTGAATATTTGCCCGCACTGAGTGCTGACAGCAATGGCCAAAACTCTTAATAAGAGTTAATAATGAATAGAAATCAATCTCAGGACACGATCAAACCCAACCTTGTGAAGCTTTATTGATGCGCTTCATGTTTAATGTGTGAAAACAGTCTGTGACGCTACTGTATCTTAGAGCAGTTTCCACAATATTGTTATTTTTGTTGTACATCGAATAAAAGCACATGCTCAGATTATAATTTGTTGGTCTGGGTTGTGTTTCTTCTTCAGTGGATTTTCTGAAAGAGGCTCCACTTGTCCTCGAGTTTAGGTGAAAGGTGAAGTGTAAACCGGTGCGTCTGCATGCTTGAGCTCAACCGTCTCTAAAGATCCTTCAGCAAAAGCCTTTGTGAGGTTCACAAGCTGGAGGCAGTTTGTGACATGGCTTCACTTTATAGCTTTAGCTGAACTGACGAGCTAATCATCAACATTATTAACAGAGCAGGACGCTAAACACAAACAGAAAGCTTTCTCTAATGCCTCTCTGATCACACGGACATTAAAACTTCACTTTTGTTGTTGGGTTCTCGTCACAGCTGACCTGGCCTCAGAGAGTCTCATGGGAACTCCCACTTCCTGTTGCAGGTGCCTCACTTCCTGTCCCAGTCAGATGTGTTTATATAGCGTATTCCACTCGGACCGTCAGGACACACTCAAAAACCAAACATCTGATCGTGTCACAAAGACATTTCGTAATTCTGTTGATGGTTTGTTGTTGCGGTCAGCTTCAGCACTACTGTCCAGAGAACACGCTGACCTTTGACCCGGCGGCGTGCGGTTACTCAACAGCGCAATAGAAGCGTTGTTACTCCGGCGCATCTAATGTTCGGAGTCACAGCACAGCTAACAGCTCTGCAGAAATGCATTCTGTAAATATTAGAACTAACCAAACTGTAGGAGCATCAGAGAAAGCCTGCAGAAGAGGATCCGCTCGCTCTGGGTCTGCAGCGGGGATATAAGTGTGTTTAATGCTAATAATAAATGTGTTTAGTACAGCCGGGTGAGCGTAAAGACACTCATGGGGGAAATATATAAGTTAGTGATTCGTGATGAATGGAACGGTTTGTCAGGAGCTTCAGGATCAACACTAGCTACTAGCAGAGCCAGCTGTCGGTGTTTATGATATATATCTGACTAATAACACTCTAGTGGTGGCCTTGCATTATAATGCACACACAGATA